CCAGGCCATGAGTTTTTCTGCATGGTCCAGATGCCACATGTCCAATCAGGGGCCCTCCTCTTTCCTGCCTGCCCTCCTTTCTCTGATCTGCCATACCTAGAAGTGGCATCTCTCACTGGCCCCATAACTGGTTAATCAGGACAAAGAAAAACACAGGGAGTCACCCTGAGGTCCTCTCTCCCTTTCCCTCAACCATCACTGACTTCTAGGAGCCACCTGCCCAGATGGCTGTCAGTCCCCCCATCTCCCTGCTTCCTCCCTTGGCCTCTGGCCCCTTCTCTCAACAGCAATTTGGAGGGGCTTCTGGAGTTCTCCAGCATAGCAGAGCCCCAGCCCCACCTTCTGGCTTCTACCACTCTGGAACAAAATCCTCTCTTGCCAAGGATCATAAGACTCTGCATGGTCTGGGGTCCCACTCCTCCCTCCCTCCAGCTGCAGCCTCTCTCTGTGCCCCAACCTGCCCCCCATGTCTAGCTGGTTTCCACTGACAGCATTGCTGCTTCAGACCAGGCTCCCTCCCCGCCCAGAGGGAGCATCCTGAACTCTGTACTCATTGAAATTAATTGGTGGCATATTAGTTAATCCTGTTTTCTCTGCTAGACCCGGAACTTCACAAAGCCAAGACCTAATCATATCTCATTCAAAGCACATGTTGATGGTCAGGAAGTGCTGGATGAAAACATCATTAGTCGATACTTTGTGTGAGAATAAGACCAACTTGGGAGGTGGGAGTGGGACTGGACCAAGGGAGATCTTGTCTCATCACCCCCAATGAGGAAGGACAGCTCCTAATACACTCCTGTGTGTGTGCTGGGGGGCTCTTCCAGCCCAGGGTTGCCTTCACAGTGATGCTCTCCCTGACTGCCCGGGGCAGAGGACCCTCCCTTTGTCGCCTACACCACTTTGTGCTTTGGGGAGGGGTGTGTGTACAAACTTGACCAACTTGTCCTGCTCTTTGTAGTTTTTTAAGGCAACAGTGTTGGGGTTACCAGGCCTGCCTTGAGTCAGGAAATGGCTTTGGGTTTTCTGACCAAGGACCATAAGGGTGGCCCCTGAATGCACTTCTGATGGGCAGCCTGGGCAGGGACAGGAGGCTTCCGGTGTGGCTGTGCGCAGCAGGGCAGGTGTGGAACCCAGGCATCCGGCAGACCCAAGGCTCAGCCCAGGTGCCTCTATCCACTTCCTTTTTGAAAGTGGCTTTATTGAAATAATTTACATATGATAAAGCTCTCTATTTACAGTATAAAAATTCAGTGCTTTTTAGTATATTTACAGAATTACAGAACTGTCCATAGTCTAATTTTAGAACATTTAGAACATTTCTAGCACCCCCCAAAAGGAACCATGTACCTACTAACAGCTCCAGTCCTGGGCATCCACATCAGGTTTCTGATTCAGGGACAGTTCACACACATGGAATCCTGGTCCCTGGCTTCTCTCATTCTGTGTGGTGTTTCCCAGGTGCCCCCTCCAGCAGTGCCTGCCCCTGCTTCTGCCTTTCTGTACTTGAATACTGGTACGTTGCATGGAGGGACCATATTTTACTTATCCACTTACCAGTTGGTGGACATCTAACTGGGTTGTTGGTAACATTATAAAGCCTTGCTGGTTCCTATAGGGTTTCTTGAGCGGGCTTCCAAATCTGCCCCATCCTTGCCAGCATCCTGTTGAGGAACGACAGCTGATGACTTTCACAAAGACCCCTTGAGGATCCTACCCTGTGTACTGGAGACCCTCCCCCATGCAGGTGCTTCCAAACATCTTAGGGAGTGGATTTTGCAGGGCTTAAGCTAGCCGTGTCTGCAGATGATGAGTTTGGAAGGCTGCGGTCTCTGCTGCAGATAGTTCACCTGGAGAACTTTCTACTTTCTGTTGAGGTGAGATTGCTAATCTTGTTTTTCTTAAGTTTAAAACTATTTTTATTATGGAACCTTTTTTTTTTTTTTAAAGGGATAGGATCTCTCTCTCTTGCCTAGGCTGGAGTGCAGGGGTGTGATCATAGCTTGTAACCTTGCACACCTAAGCTTAAGGGATCATCCTTCCTCAGCTTCCAAAGTAGCTGAGAATATAGATATGCACCACTATGCCTAGCTAATTTCTTAAGTCTTTTGTATAAACGGGGTCTTGCTTAGGGTGACCAGACGTCCCGCTTTTGGTGAAACAGTCCTGCTTTTCAGCAATTTGCCCTGCCTCCTGCGGCTTTTTAAAAAAGTCCCGATTTTTGGAAAGCATGCACAAACGGGCCGGGGAACAAGAAGGGAATATACAATTTTCGGCTGCCATGTGGCTATTTCACCAGGATATGAGTTTTATATTATTTTTGTTAATTTTATATGTTAAACTGTAATAATAACAAATAATTGCTGAGAAGTGATTATCAAGAACTGCGTATCAAAGTTGGCATTGTTGTCAGACCCTGCCCTGCCCTGCCCCCCCCCCCCATGTTGTCCCGCCTTACCGGTGTTAAAATCTGGTCACCCTAGTCTTGCTATATTGCCTGGGCTTGTCTTGAAATTCTGGCCTCAGGTGCTCCTCCAGTCTCAGCCTCTCGGAGTGCGTGGATTATAGGTGTGAGCCACTAGACTAGACCTACCCCTTTCTGGAAAGCCACAGGATAATAGAATGAACAGCTCCATCTCTACTTAGCTTCAACAAACCACAGTTTTTGCTAAAATACATTTTTAAAGACATAAACCTCGGTTGTTTCTTGTTTGTGTCTTCTGTCTCCCCACTCCACATGGGCTCCCGAGCTCAGATGCTAAGCCTTGTCCTTTTACATATTTTTACCCATCGCCCATACACGGTTTTGTGGAGTGGGTGAACAGGAGCTGCAGCACACATCATCTGAGGGACCAGAAATAACCATAGGTGGTGCATAGACAGGCCCCAGCATTAGCTTCCATGGGAAATTCTTCTTGTTCTCTGTCCTGGTGACACAAACAGAGCATCTCCGTCTGGTGCCTGCCTACCTGAACTGCTCTCACTCCTGCACCCTTTATAATAAGCAGAACCCAGCTTGAGCCCAGAGTGGACCCAGGCACAGAGTTGGTGCTGTGGTCCCTCTATCCAAGGACAGTCCTCTCAGGTTGTCCCAGCCACCCTGGTGAAGGCTGCCTTTAGAATGCATTTAAGTGCAGAGTTGATTGAAAGGCAAACCTTAAGGCAGTGGCAGGAGGCGCCTGTAAGCAGGAAAGGCTGATAAGCATGAGGGTGGTGGGTGAGTGGAGACAGGTGGAGGCCTCCGGTGTGACCACTCTCCTCTTTTCCCCGGGCCAGTTCCGGGCTGCCAGCCCTCCTCGCTGGTCTATCTCTGCATCTGCCTGGCAGTCAGCTGAAGGCATTTTTTGGAAGGGCCTGAACCATCTCAGGTGTCCCCTACTTAGACCTGAGTGGGGCCAAGACTGAGGCCTGTGAGGCCAGTACTCAGCCTGGTGTAGAGCCCACAGGTGCATGGGCTGCTGAGGATGCCCTTGGAGAGGCCATAGGCCAGGAGGCAGTGTCCCAGCCCTCCCCTGTCCTGCCTGTGACCTGAGCAAGAGGACTCACCTCTGGAAGTTGTCCTCATCTCTAAAGTGCAGACCACAGCAGCTCTCACTTCCTGGGGCAGGTGTAGGCCAGCATGATATACCCACTGCAAAATACTTGGTCCAGGCCTGGCCATGTCACTACTGGTCCAGCACTTTTTTATGGGGGTAAAAAGTGTCTAGTCCCACCAGCTTCCCTCCAGCTTCCTCTCTTTCATGGCACTAATAGTCACCTGAAACTAAATGTTTATGTGGGCAGCTATTGGTTTGCTGGTGACCATTCTGGGCGTAGAACACACCAAGAGTGAGGGCACTTCTGGGTTTGTTCACGCTGGCCCCAGTACCTGGGTGGTGCCTGGCGCACACTGGCCTGCAAATATTTTAAAGAAGGGAATGAATGTGCACTTTCCCTGAGGGCAGACAGTTCTGCTGACGTGAGCACCGACTCTATCCTGCATCTCTCGGCGCTGTGTTTGGCACTTAATCCAGGTTTCACCCAACACTGCCACCCTAGGCCCCTAGGCCTGCTTTAAGTGCTGACCTGGTGAGATCAGCTTCAGGAAGGGCTCAGCCCCTGCTCTGCTGTTCCCAGCTGGAGGACCTTGGCAAGCTCCTCTGAGCCCCAGTTCCATTGCCTGCAGAAGGGGACTCAGCTGTTGCCCCATGGGACTGTTTGAGGGCTGAGTGGGAGCAGCCCCCGCACCCCCCACACCCACCCCCCCGCCCGCATGCCCGCATGTCCCTCCGGCCCTTAGATCCTGGTGTCCAGTAAGATGCTGCCTTCTCTGGGCACCTCCCTGGGCCAGGCCAGGTGCCAGCACCATCCCTCAGCTCCTCTCTCTAGCCCTTTCTTGGCCTTTCTTTTTATTCATTCCCTGCCTCCCCACCCCATCCCAGGACGCTGACAAGAATGGTGAGAATCACTCATTCGCCCCAGAGGGCACCTCTGTGAGTGGCAGCCCAGGGTCGTGTCACCTCCCTTTCCTGGCCATCGACTTCATCTGGGGTATCTGAGGGGAAGCCTCCCTGGAAGGCATCTGTGCCCCTCCTGCCCGATGGAGTGGGCAGTGGGGAGGTGTGGTGCCCCCCGCAGGCCCAGGCCAGGAGCGGAGTGGAGCCCTATTCGCAGCGCCACCCATTGGCCTCACAGTTCCAAGAGCGGAACGGCCAGAGAAACCAGCTGTCTGCAGCCGCAGGGGAATTCTGGGCCCTCAGGGTCTCCTGCCCATCCCCGCCCCTGGGGTGGCAGAGGCATTCTTGTTTCCAGAGGGCGGTAAGGGCGGGAGGGCAGCTCGTAACTCAGGGTCCAGCCTCCAGCACCCCACGCGGCGGCATGCAGTCCAGGTATTTGAGACCCCTCCCCATCACCACGCCTTCTCACGCCCCTCTCCCGTGACGTCATGCTCCTCTCGCGCTGCATGATGGGAGAATCCTAATGTTTTCCAACAGATGCTCCAAGAACAGCTTTCAGATTAAAGCAATTGCAAGAGCAAAGATTTCTCTTTTTTCCTTTTTTTCCCCCCGGGGGGGGTGGGGGGTGGGGTGGGGGGAGGGAGCACCCCCAGACATTCCTGGACATCACCCCCTGCCCCAAGCATGCAATAAACACTGACAAGAAAAAGTTTTTATTTCCTGGTTCAACTTTTTTTTTCCTGGAGTATAGACTGAAGAATGGGAATAAACACGAATAAATAACACAGCGAGGCCGCGCACGCCGGGATGCGCCTGGCTGCAGCCGGAGAGGCTATTGTCTGCCTGCCCTGAAGCCAGCCCCGTGTCCTCCTGCAGCTCCTTCCCTTTCCCTAGCCTTTTTTTATTTTCCTTTTCAAAAAGACACCCCTTCCAGTCCCCTCGCCGGTGACCTTGGCCTCCTCGGATGCTCTGAATCCACACGGCTCCCTCCAACTTGCCCCCGTGCTGGCTGGGCCCATGGCCGCGTCTGAGGACGGGAGCGGCTGCCTCGTGTCGCGGGGCCGCTCGCAGAGTGACCCCAGCGTCCTCACAGACTCCTCGGCCACCTCTTCCGCGGATGCCGGGGAGAACCCAGGTAACGAGCTGGGCGGGGGCGGCCGGGCGGGTGGGGGAGGTACGAGGCAGGTGGCGCTGGGAGCGGTCCCGGCGCAGCTCCGCGCCCCTGCCTGCGTTTGGCGAGCTCTGGCAGGACCCCGAGCTCGGGCCCGCTGTTCCGTTCCCAGTAAGGCAGGGCTGGGGCGCCTCAGAGCCCTTTGTCCCGAAAGGAGCCGATTTCTCGGGGAGAGTCGGTCGCTGCAGTCTGCCCTCCTCGCCGGCAGGTGGGCTCTGCCGTCCCCTCGGAGGAAGCTTCCCTTCCTCGGCTGCCTACCCGCTGGGGGACGAGAGTCGGACCCGTGGCCGCCTCCGCCCAGGGCTGGCTCCGAGCTCTGTTCTCCCAGTCCAGCGTCGGGCCCCAGCTCTGGTGTCCCCGCTTGGGTACCCCGCCGGCCGGGCAGTGCTCTGCTCCGAGGCCACCGTGCACAGGGCTTCCGCTGGGCGCCGGCTCCCGCGGCCCCAGCGCACCTGGGCACGCCCGCCTCCCCGGACAGGTGTGCTGGGCAGAGCCGCCGGCGATGAAGGGCGTGCTCCAGGACGCAGACCGATTTCTCGTATGGACTCTGTCCACTCTTCCACCCCCAGGGCAGCGTGAATTGTTTAGGTGATAAACCGGTCACAAAGGCGTCTATAGGGCTTGATTGATTACTTTCCAGAGAGGAAGAAAGGCCTAATAAAGCAGGAGGGGGGTGGGCTGTGTGCGCCTGTCACCATGGAGACGCAGGAAGCAAAGTGATCATTAAAACCTTTCTCCACCAGAAGGCAATTTTCACTTCACTGGGAGAAGTCTGATCTTCTGAAATGTAGGGTTCAAAAAAAGAATCAAAGCTGGTGTTTTGGTATCAAGCCACAGGACTCAATTTCGTATCTTAGAGAAGCTCGAGCCCTTCGTAGATTACGTTGTGATGACAAGTTGCCTCTACCTTCCTTTGAAACCTTATTCTCTTTAAATGCAATGACCCCACATGGGGGCTGGATCATGTCCAACGGTGGGCACCAAAAGTGAAGATGACCCTTGGCCTGGGGAAGGCCCATTGGTGGGGAGGGACCCCTGCACTCTGCTGGGACACACCAGAGCTTCACTATCCAGCCGCCCAGAAACACCCACTAAAGGCGGTTCCTGGGGCACCAGGCTGCTATTTGAAAATTTAAACAATAAACCCATGCAAGTGTTGAAGATTTCTTTGTTAGGAGTATTGACACTGTGTCTTTCGCCTTTTCTGGATCTGGGAGGGTGAGTTAATTTCCTTGGTGTTTGAGGCAGAGGTCGCCAGAGCAGACCCTTGAGGCTTTAATTCATCTTTTTATTAGACTTTGAGGATTAAGCGCTCGGCACTCCATGATGGATTGGTTTTCTCTGTGGTGGAGACGCTCATCCACGATGGTTCCAATTATGGAAGTTGAGTGGTTCCTCACAAGAGAATCTCCCGGCTCTCTTTGTCTCCCTGGCAGTAAAAGGAAGCAAACTTGAAATGGAAATTATGGAGGACTTAGCCTTTTGGCTGTCTGTGAGCCGAAGCCTCTGTGGGTAGGAGCGGAGGGGGGTTTGGCAGGTGCTGCGGGTCCACGAGGGAGAGAGGAGGAGGGCTTGGCTGGCTGTGATTAAGTTACGCCTTGGAAGGATTGACATTTGAGTTCTTCTCTGGTTCAGCTGGTCAGCGTGGTACCCAGAGAGCAGGAGTCAGAGGCAAAAAGTCTAAAATCCATACAATTCTGTGAGTGGTACAACCTTATTGAAAAGCACCAGGCAATTAAGTATTAATGGCTTGTGTTAAGCAGAGAATTCTCTTTTTGTTCTGGTAGAAAGAGAATCAGAATCTTCAAGTTGGAAGGAACCTGAGAGCTTGAAGCCAGTGGGGTGGAGTTGGGGTACAGTCCTCTAATTGCTTTGCGTGGCTGGCTGGCATGTGCTTGCACACCTCTTCCGATGGGGCACTCATGTCTTGCTGACGTAGAGCATGTATGCCTTTGGGGAGATCTATTTACAAATCCTTTTTCAAGTGGCTCCAAAGGGTCTGCTGTTACTCTGTCCATGTGGGATCTTCTCATGCTGCTTTCAGAGAAAATGTGATGTTTAGGTCAGTTGTGGCAACAGCCTCATTTCTTCACCTGGCTGAGCAGTCTTGGCCCCTTACCTGTTCTTTCTTTAAGAGCTCTGTGTTCGTCCACCTGCTGCTGTGACTCATGCTCTTCAAAAGTGAACCTGATATCCCAGGTGGGGAAGAACCCAATGCCAAGTACAATAGAAGGGTTGCCTCCTTTAATCTCAATTCTGTATTTTCACCAGCCGCCCAAGTTGGTGTTTATTCTTCCTCCAAAAGGCATTTTAATGCATCCATATTCTTATAGTAAAAACTCAAAACGTTTTTAGAGAGGTGAACTGTGTTCAGTACTTCTGCCTCTCATTCTCCAGAGACTGAGGTGCTACATGGGACCTTTTCAACATGTTTGTGTGTGCTTATGTCGGGACAGCAGCAGGTGGAAATACAGCATGCACAGAGATCGTCAATGCCAGGTCTTGGGGGTCACATTACTACATTCACCACACTTTTGTTTTGTTAGCCACATAGAATTCCAAGGAGTGTACATTTTATTTTATTTTTTTTATTAAGTCATATATACATAGAACATGAATACATTTATGCCTTTGTGGGATTCAATGTGTTGATTATTTGTATAAATTGGAGGGCTCACATCCTACTAATTAACATAGATTTCACCTTGTTTACTTAATCAGAGTGTTAAGACATTTACCTCTTTTATGTTTACATGGATGGAGCTGGAATATATTCTTCTTAGTAAAGTATCTCAGGAATAGGAATGCACTTTTTATGGTATTTTTGTAGTGCTTCCTCCAAGGTGTGTACCAGCTCCCGGGGCATCAGCTGGGTGTGGCAAGGGACCCAAAGTTCTTATTTTAAAAATTTTGTATCCTGGAAAATGTACGAACTCACACTCGCACTTTCAGAGTTTGAGAGGGCCCTTTCTTCAGACCCTTGCCAACACCTGAGATCATCAATCTGTTTTTCTCTAGCAGGAAGCGTGACAAGTGGTTTCTTGAGTTACTCTGTGGTTCTGGGATTGCCAGTGAACATGAGCATCTTTTGTGGCCTTATTAGTGTATTAAATCCCTCGGTGGCCACGACTGTGGCGATGGACTGCATGGCAGGATGAAGTACTTCCCCTCAGGGATAACGCTCCTGCTATCGCTGCATCACTGCCCTGTTAATGGTCCGTCTGCATCTTCACCACAGTCCGCTCTCTGACTCCATACTCTGTACCCACAAGCACAGTTAGGTGTTCTTTCAAAACAAAATCTTGTAAAGGCTAAGGAAGCATCCTTCTGAGGAGTTCATAGTCACAAGGAGTCTTAACGTCCCTCGCTCTGTCTACTCCCAGGCTCTGGGAATGGGCTTCTGCCCTCTCCATGCCATGGGGCCAGTGCTGTCATTTCATTGCCTCCCAGATGCCAATGCCATAGACTGGTCAAAAGCCACTTGGAGCAGCTTTTAAAAATGTTTTTTCTTGAGGCCTTGCAAGTGACCTTTTCAAGATCCTGCTCTGGAGGGTCTGATGCACAGCTCAGGGGAATCTTGGGCCTTGGCCAGTGTTTCTCGCCCTTAGTACTGTCCCATTTGTGGCCAGGTCCTTTTTGTGGTGGGGTCTGTCCTGGGCACTGTAGGATGCTGGGGCACACCCTGGCCTCTACCCACTGGACGGCAGTCAAAGATGTCTGCAGACATTGTCAGTGAGCCCCTGGGTATAACGTCTCCCTGGAGAACCACTGATGTGCAGTGCTGACTCTGAAGTATGTGTTTCAGAGCTTGCGGGAAGGATTCCTCACATGCATGGTGGCCTCGGATCAGGTGTGTTCTTAATGAGTCCCAGGCAACCATGCTGGAGAACCACAGGGTCTGGACCTCAGCCATGGCCTCAGGCTCCCTCTGCTGACAACTTCTGCATGTATGTCCATCAGTCCATGCCCCTGTGTCCGTGTGTGTGTGTCCTGCCCTGGCTCTGAGCTCCAGCCCCCTGTGTCCTGCTGACTCCTTCTCCTTCAAGTCTCCCAGGCCCTGCCCAGTCAGATCTGATCCCATTTCTGATTTGTTCCTGGCATGTATCATCTCCAGGGATTCTCTGTGAACTACGCCTGTGGGGATACAGGGGCCTTGACTGTCACCAGCAGTGCTGCAAGCCTGAGCTCAGCACAGATTGCAGACTCGGGAGACTTGTAGTGAGCATGTACGGTGAGCAGGCAGGAGCACCAGGCACCTGTGTCTTGACGGATGGCCCAGAACCCTTTCAGAACTTCCTCTCCCTCCTGAGCTGCAGGGACACACAGACATGTCCCTACCCCAGACCTGCGGTCCCATGCTCGCCCCTTCCTCCTGGGTGCCTCTCTGCATACAGGTGTGTGCTTGAGATGGCGGCTGTTTCCTTCCTCAGAGCACACCTTCTTCACCAGGCTCTGTTCTTTATTTCTGTTTATTTCAAAATATTAAGGCATTACACATGTTTTGTTACACAGATACCTTATACAGAAGGCTTAAGTCAGGGCTTTTGGTGTGTTGTTACCAGAAGAATGTTCCTTGTACCCAATAAGTTTTTATCCCATACCCACCCCCAACCTCTCCCCTTCCTGGTTTCCAGTGTGTCCTTTATATCTCTTGGTGTGTGGCCATGGCTTAGCTCCCATGACTAGAGAGTACATGTGGTGTTTGGTTTTCCATTCCTGAGATATTGCACTTAGGATAAGGGTCTCTACTTTCATCCAAGTTGCTGAAAACATTATTTCTTTCTCTTTCATGGCTGAGTAGTACTCTGTGGTATTGATATATATTGCATTTTCTTTATCCCCGCTCATGAATTGATAGGCACTTGGCTTGATTCCACATCTTAGCAATTGTGAATTTTGCTGTGATAAACATTCAGGTGCCGGTGTCTTTTTGATAAAATGACTTTCTCCTTTGGGTAGATACC